CTCTTGCTACTCGGAGCAACGAACTTGCCCCAGGTCCTGAAGCTTGAGAAGCTGCCAAACACTCCCAGATTTATACACACCTGCCATCGGAACCCTCTGCTTTTCAAACACACACACTCTGTATTTAACAGTTAGTGATATTTGGAAGCTGATGGCTGGTCATGAGGACCTCAGCACCCAGAAGGAATGACCTGGAAGATCAAACCCAGTACAGGTTCCAGGACAGAGATGGGGTCTGGCCTCAAGGGTCTCTCACCCACCGATGCTATGATGCAGAGAGAGGTGACACCTAGGTTGAGCCTTGAACTCTAACCTGTCCATGAGAAGAGGGCGTGGTGATACATTATTTATGATTCATTAAAGCTTGCCTGAGGATTCAGAAAGCAAATATAGAGATCAGGCAGTGGTGGTACACACCTTTAATTCCAGGACTCAGGATTAAGAGATAGATGGACCTCTGTTAGTTCAAGGCTACCATGGCCTACACAAGAGTGAAGTAACAGAGCCCATGCCTTTGATCTCAGCACCTGGGATCACACACCTTTAATCCCAACATTAGGGAGGTATATAAGACAGGAGCAAGGTCTCAGAGCTGGCATGCAGTCTCAGGATTCTTTCCAGCCTCATGAGGAGAGAGGCAGCAGTCTGAGGCTTGGTGAAGAGCTCCAGGATCAGCCCTTTCAGTCTAAGCTAGAAGTAAAAGCTAGTGGCCAGCTACTTTGCTGTTCTGGTTTTCAGCTTGAACTCCAATATCTGTCTCTGGGTCTTTCATTTTTCGTGTTACATGAGGGTTTTATGAAATGACCTGGAATCATTTTATTTCTTGCTGGGCCCCTTTCCTCCCATCCCCCTCCAGAGATGGAGCTCACAGCACAATTAGCATAAGGGTCCCCTCTAGGCCAAGCCCCTCCCACCTAGGGGCCTCCAGGAACCTTCTCCCTCCTGTGACCTTTGTGTGTCCCTAGCTGGCTGGCTTCCCTCCAGCCTTGTCACCCTCAGGGAGCTGGTGAGCAAAGGAATGTATGGCTGTGAGAAAGGGGTGGGCGGGGAGAAAAGAGACGGTTCCCATACAGGGAAAAGCTGGCACTGAACACAGAACACACAAGACTGTCAGCAACTTAGAATTCCAATAGCTTTTTTTTTAAAAAAACAAACAAACAAAAAGTCCCATAAAACAGCCAAACCCCACCAACCCCCCAGCCCAGTGTAACAGGTTAGCCATTAATACAACAGTGAAGATGTTACAACCACATCACCAACTCAGATGGCACAGTAGATGGACCCAATGTGGTAGGAACACAGCCTTTACACACCACTTAGACACTGACCTCTGAAATAAGCCAGACACAGGCGTTCTTTAGGTCAGTGGCATGTTAGGACAAAACCAAAATGCAAAGCACTGAACAAAATGATTGTGTGATCAGGGCTTGCTTTAAGAAAACAAAAACCTACAGGTGGGAGACCCCAGGACATCAGAAACAGGAATGAGCAGGGCCTTCTCAGAGGGCCTTGGTCAGCACCATGAACATGGCCCAAGAGTCCCTGCTCTTTGGACCCAGGCTAGGACTGGGTTCCTGACCTGATTTCCAGGACAGGGACCTCAGTTCAGATCTCTGGGAGAGCCTTCAGGAAGCACTCTGGCCTCTCCCTCCTCACCCCAGTGAAAGGGGACCCCAGAAACATAGAGGGAGGTGGGGGGCAGTAGTAAGGTTACCACCATGCAAGGGCTGCACAGTTACTCTAGTCACTGCCCTGCTTCAGGCAGGCCACAATGGCTGGAGTCAGCAAGGGAGTCTATATCCTGATGTCACTCCAAGCAGATCAGCGGCTTGGTGAGATGCGCTGGCTGGACCTCAACTGTCTCCCCCAGAACAGAACAGGAAACCTGAGGATGGTCCACATAGGAGGGATAGCAGCATGCAGCCAGCAGCTTTCGTACTCAGGAAGCTGGAGTGGTCTTGCCACACAGGTGGCAGAGAATAGGGAGGGGTGCTTGTTCTGGACAATGGCTACATGGGATAAAGAGGGGATGGTGATGACAGTCTCAGGAACTATGGAGGTGAACAGAGATGTGTGGGTGGGAGATCCATGGTACTGGTCACTGTGACCTCCTTCCTGGTCCATTTCTAAGAGAGCTGGGGTAGCGGGGAGACTGTGCCTGCAAGAACCAGAGCACAGCCCCTTGAATGATGCAGAGCCTGCCTGAGTGCACAAGAGATCATGGCCCTGTAGTTGACAGCTGGTGGCAAGCTCTTCCCATGGGCTTCTAGCTATGGCAGCCAGCTGCTATTAGGATTATGGCTGCAGAGCTCTCTTTCACGTATGGCCAAGGGAAGAGGAATCACCAGGCCTTCAAGACAATGAGACCTAAGCTCTACACTTATATAACTCAGCAGTAGAGCACTTGCCTCATATGAATGAGGCTGGGGTTCCATCTCTAGGATCCCAGAAAAACAAAACAGCCCAAGCTAGAATATGCGTCATCCATCTGTCAGTCCAAGTTCACAGTAGAACAGATAACATCTGAGTCTCAGTAGTTCTTTTGACCTGGTGACAGTGATGTGGTCCCCTTGAGGCACACTGTGCTACTGAACAACAGCCTTGGGTGAAGAGCTGTGGCCAGCAGCGTCACATTTCCAGCTGGGCTGCTCTGGCTACGGAGCTCCTGCTCCTTGCTACCCTGTTTTGTTAAAAAATAATCATCTTGGTAGTGTAAACTTGACCCAAATGCAAGCTACAAAAACAAAACCAAACAAAAATCAGAGAGGGGAGAAAGGCCAGATGTGGCAGTCCCCTGAAAGTCAGAAAGACCAGGCCTCAGCTCACAGCATGTGCTAACACGGAGTGCCATGAAAAGATGGTCGCCTTCTGGGACCAAATTCGTACCAGAGTTCTTTCACAGCCACTGTGGACACCTGACCATTGGAGGAACAGTGGATGATGCTGGACAGTTGGTGCTCACTGGCGCTGTGGGGGATGACAGGCCTGGATGCTGCTCTTCCAAAGGTCAGTTGTCTTGAAGTAGATGCCACTCACTCTCTGTGGCACTAAGGATAGCAGCTAAGTCTCCTGAGGAACCACCTGCATAAGCTTCTGGCACAGCACCGTCACAGAGACTGCAGGGAGAGAACAGGGGTGAGCACAGGACCGAAGATGGGCACAAGCTGGAGCCAGCTCCTACTGTCCTGCTTGCTCTCACCAGCCCATTATTCACTTCTGAAACTTTGAGAGACGGGCTAAACAAATGATGGTTCAGTAGGGTAGTTGATTGCCTGTGCCTGGCTTTTATGTGAGTCTAGAAATCTAAACTCATGTCATTGGGCTAATGCCACTCTCCATTCTGGAACTTCAAAGTCCCCCAGACCATAGTGATAGCCCAGGTCTGCAAATACTGCTCTCCTCTGGGAGTTTTAGGAGGGTAAAGACAGGGTCCTAACTGGTACCAGCCCTAAGCCAGGTGCCTCATAACAAATTTTTTAAGCTCTATCTCTTGGTCAGGCCACTGTGTCCAAGATAGTGGCCTGCAGTGGGGTTTTGCCAGTTGGCAAGGGCAGCTAGCCATGGAATGCCTACTAAGACAAGCTAGGGTGGACTCCCGGTATCCCTTCTCAATGCCAGCCCACTATACTAGTGACTCAAACCTATATGGTGGGCATGGCAGGTCAAACAATTCCTTACCCTGGAAATTCCCACCCTGGCTGGTATGGGCAAGGGCTGTGTGTACTCACAGATGGCCTGCAGAAGCCACTTGGGCTTGTTCTGCCACCAGACGCCAAAGAAGTAGACAGGTAGCCCACTTAAGATGATGGCAAATCCAATGCCACACTCCTTGGGTGTCTTCCAGAAGGACACGGCAATGAGGAAGAGGCAGGCCAGGATGAAAAACACTGGGAGGGCCAGGTTCACCTAGGACAGAATGGAGGAATATAGGCTATCAGGTTCTCCTCCCCACATTGCCCATGGGCACAAGTGGAAAGCTCCTACCTATGGTCATATTGCTGGCATGTGACCCTGGAGCCATCATCTTCTCTTTTGGGTCTGCCTAGCCACCCCTCCCTAGACCTTGGGCCTTTGCTTTGAAGTGGTTTAACTACCTCCAGCTGTTCCCCTGGCTGCCTTCAACTGTCACGGGCCTGGAGAGAGCCGAATCAAGTGTCCTGTTCAGTCTCACTCTGACCTCAGTACAAGGTGCTGAGCATATAATTACCCAAAGCTCATCTGGTATAGACAGGGGAATGAAAACAGCTTGCCCTGTTTCTCTTGAGGCTTCCACAGGGCAGCAGAGGTCAGCTCTGCAGTTTCCACACCACAGGTATGGAAACCCCTGGCTATAATACCCACCCATGGCCACCGAGGGGAGGAGCAGTAGGTTGACCCTTCTGGGAAGATCCTGGCTACCTACCAACAAACAAGGAATTCTTTCTTTTCAGAGAACCCTTTGTGGATATAAATTCTCACCCCGAAGCCACAGTCTGCAACTAGCCAAAGCAGACAGGCTTCTGGCAGGGCAGCTCGAGTGCTGAATAACCCAGCAGGCAGAGCTGGGCTTTCCTGTGGGCTGTTGCCAGATTGCTGTCCAGAATTCCAGTCTTGAAAATGGACTCCCACCGTGGGAAACAGTCTCATTGGAACAGACTCTAACCATGTGCCCAGGGAATGAAGCCTACAGGTCATCTGTGAACTTTTTCCACGGACCAGCTGTCAGCAGTCTGACCTCTAACCCCACAGTCTGGATGACTGAGTAGTACAAGCCAGCATGGTTGGGCTCTCCCACCGACTGGTCACCAGGTTCCTAGTGATATTGGTGGAAACCACTGAGTGGGGACAGGAAGAAGCCTTGTGGCAGGTATGGCTGGGTCAGCCCTGTGCCCAAGGAGAACTAGCTAGGTAACAGACACTGCAAGCCATCAGCCACCACAGCTACCAGCTGTGACCCCAGTAGCTCAGCCTTCAATGTGCCCTTCATATGGTACTCATGGAGAAGGGGTGGGCTCCCTAGTTTGCCATGGAGAGATGGAGACTGTCAGTCCAGGGATCCTTGGATGCAGACCCTGCTTCTTTCTGAGGATGCCCAACACTCACCTTGATGGGACGCTCCAGTTCAGGCTTCTTGAAGCGGAGCCACATCATGCCAATGATAGCCAGGGCCACACACAGCCAATTGAAGAAACTGAAGAAGTTGATGATGGAGAAGATGTCATTGGAGAAGGCGTACATCAGGGTCATGACACACTGAAAGCAAAGACAGGGCCAGGTGAGCCTGACAGGGCTGGATTGATGCAGGAGAGCGCCAGAGGCCACCAGACAGTAGACCGCCAGCTCTGCCAGTGTCTGGCTGAGCACAAGTGTTTGTTCTTGTTTTAAGAAGTAACGACTGTGACCATGTAGAGGCCTGGGGTACAAAGGGAGGGTTGTGAGAACACAGTAAGGCACCCATGGTCCAAAGATGAATGAAGTACAAGAGCTCTCCAGACTGGAATGGCAAATGCACCTGTAACAGACAGGCAGTGGTGATGCACACCTTTAATCCCAGCACTTGGGAAGCAGAGGCAGATGGATCTCTGTGAATAGAAGGCCAGCCTGGTCTACAAAGCAAGTTCCAGGACAGCTGGGACTGTTGCACCTGCACCTAGAGCTTACTGTGGCCTCCTGTGTCAGTAGTAAATAAAATGTCCAATGGGCAAGCCTCCCAACAAAGCATGGAGCACACTATATACCATACCACCATTAAAAGAAAGCTCAAACTGACGCTGACTATGCCTCCTGAGGGACCCTGAATTCCTGACCCAGGAAGGGTGAGACAGTAAAAGTTTCTTATTTTAGGCTTCTGGGGTTGGGGTGACTGACAGAAAACTAAAATAATGGATAGGCACAGAAGGAAGAACAGCTGAGTCCAATTTGTGCACCGAGGCCATTAACATCGTGTCGGCATGGTTGGAGCAGACAGTGTCTGAGCAAACACTCCTTCTGGGCAGGGATTTCATTTCATACACTTCAGGAACCACAATGGGATTCTGAATTAAAAATTCTGGTGTTTTTGCATGCAGCCTAGTGCAGCCTGGCTAACTACGTATTGCTCCAGGCAGACACGGGGCCGAGTGGTGAGGACAGACAGGGCAGGAACACACGGCAGACTTACTGTGAACACCAGTGATGGCACAGGTGTCAGGAGCTGTGGGTGGATCATGGAGAGGACAGAAGGCAGGTGGCCCTCCCTGGATCCCACAAAGAACAGCCTGTGGATGGAGCAGAGGGCAATCAGCAACGGCCCCATCACCTGGAGCTGAGGGGATGTGTGTCAGCTACACTAAGAGGGGTGTGGCCTCCCCCCAAAGACTTCCAATGTCCTTGATCTCTTGGGCTAGCAAGGACAGAAACCTGGGTTGTATCTCACTTCCAGCCCCCTATGATATGACCTAAATAGCAGTTCCTCTATTCCCAGGTCATCCAAATATTTAACTATCAGCTGTCTATCATCTATAAACAGATAGCTTTTAAAGCTTGAGGAATAGCAGAGGGGTTTTCCTCTAGGGTGCTGACAGGCACTTTACCTGGAGGATGTGAACAAAGAACCATTGACAGAGCCAAAGCAGGACAAGCCCACGAAGACAGGAATGATCCAGGACATGACTCCTAGGTGATAGTTCCCAAAATCCTGGACAGACACAACACATGGTGAGCACCCAGCTACTGTGGGACACAGGCAGGGCCTCAATTCTGGCCATTGGAGCAACTTAGCCCGTGACTCTGCTGGGCTGATCTGGCCCCTAGCTGCCCCACACCTCAGGCTTCTGCATGTGTGGCCATTTCTCAGAATTAGGGTCTGCACTATGAGATACACAGGTTCTCACAGTGGGCCATCCCCAAGTTTTGCTGTGGAGCACATGCATAAGGTACCCTGATCCCTTCCTGTGGGACATAGGGATAATCTTTAACAGGTCTCCCTTAATGATAGCTCCTTCACATCTGTCAAGAGCCTGGGGTGGCAGGTCTTTATGAACCATGGGCTCTGAGTCAACACTTAAATAAACAAAATAAAAGCTAGACAGTGCTACCTCTCCTCCAGGTAAGCCCAAAAGGACAGAGGAGTGGCAGGGGCTGCCAAGGATCCTGGTTGTGCCTCGATGCCATAAATAGCCCAGAGCCGGCTCACAGCCACTGACCCAGTAGCAGCCCCTAAGTCACCATGGTCCCTAATAGAGCCACCAATGCTCAGATGCCTATGACCATCCACATGCTATCTAAGGTGCTATCTAAGCAGCTGCATTTAATGCCCTGCCCACATCATGCAGCCAGCCTGGTGGGGTCCTCTGTGGTCATCTTTAGTGGTCACCAATGATGACCACTAGACTCCCAAAGTAGGGTAAAGTTTGGGTACAAGAGACAGGCCTGGCTGGCTTGATCACAGGTCTGAGGGTGGCAGGTCAACCTCAGACTCTTGGGCCTAGGAGACGTTGGTAGGCAGTGTCTTACCACAGCCACAGCCTCAGACATCAACATCTGGTTGGTAGACAGGGTCGTGAAGTAGGCCAGATTCGTCAGCACATATACCAATGTGACAATGGGCAGGGAAATGATGATGGCCAGGGGCAGGTTCCTGGGAAGAAGGGGGAGAGACATGTCAGTGTGCAGCCCAGGACTTAGGGCCAGACCCCAGGGTGAGGAGCTAGGCTCCTTTCCCTTTGCAGTGGCTCCATGTCTGGGCCTCACTTCTTGGGCAAACAGTGGGGATGTGTGCAACATTACCCCCTGCATGGACTTGAGCAGCTGTGCACAGCGGAATCATAGCTCACACTACCATCCCTGAAAAACTCAGGTGGCTCTGAGAGCTCAAGAGAGCCCAGATGGCCCAGTGTGAACACCATGGCCCTGCCTACCAGCTGCGTACCTCAGGACTGAGAGCCACAGAAGCTTCTCTATGGCCCAGAACCCACCCTATCCCTGCATCATCCTTACTGCAGGCCCCTGACACAGACCTCCATAGAACCTGTGCAGGGCTCATCTATGGGCTGGTACAATGAGTGGCTTCTCCCTCTCATGTGAAGACAAGAAAATGTCTCTGCCATTTCTGTACATACCTGTAGGGGTTGATCATCTCCTCCGTGACAAAATTCAGGTAGTTCCTAGAAACCAAGCAATAGTATGTCATTATATTGTACACATAGTTTAGGGGGGACAAAAACAATGCAAAGAGAACCTTGGGTTGCTTTGGGTAGGTATGATGGTTTGAATGAGATTGTTCCTCATAGCTCATATATTTACAAACTTAGTTCCCAGCTGATGAGCTATCAGGGAAGGATTAGAAGGTGTAGCTTTGTTGGAGTGGTATGCCACTACAGTGGGCTCACAGATCAGGATGCAAACCTCTCAGCTACTGCTTTGGGACCATGCACATTGCCATGCTCCCTGCCATGATGATAATGGGCTAACCTGAAACTGTCAGCCCCCATTTAAATGCTTTCTTTCTAAGAGTTGCCTTGGTCACAGCAATAGTACACTAAGACAGGAGAATCCTCTGCAGGCTCCCACTGTTGACAGAAGCTGGGCAGTGGGCACCCTTGGTACCAGCAGCTCACTCTCCTCTGTCCTCTGCCAACTCTATCTGAGGTAAACACACAGCTCGTCCTGTCTAAACACTCTGTGTGGCTTCAACATCCCAAGTCTCTATAGAGTTGTCCTAAAAGCAGAGGCCAGGCTGGGTACCTTATGGTGACAGAACCCAGCCCTCCCTGCCTGTTTCCTAATGGTGGTGACCTGTAGGTGCCTTTGCAGCTCAAGATGTTTGCTGCGCTCTGTCCCACCCACTTGAGTCACCTCTGTATGGTCAGTGACTCTTTGGGCACACCAGGACCATGTGTGCCCAGGCCAAAGGACTCCAATGTTCCAGAACCTACCATCCTCCATAGGCAAACAGGCCACTGTACAATGCCAACACAATGTTCCCCACATCCAAATTTGTGCCTTCAAAGGATGACTGAGGGTGCAGGTTGGACATATCACCTGGAATGCATTAAAGAAAATAGAATACTGGTTAGAGGATCTAGAGAGATCATAATATGAATTCTGAAATGTTTCTGGAGTAAAATATTGTAACAAACAAAAGCTTGGGGTGTAGATTTTTACTGCAGATTGTTGCACCCACCTAGCCACCTGATCATCCACCCCTTCTCCCACCCCCCCATCCATGGAACTGGAAACCAGCAGGGAGGAGGAGAACCATCCACCTCCTATACCCTCTGGCCACTCAGAGGAATGTGGCCTGGCTAGAAGCCCATGTGATCTCTCTGTAGGCAGAGGACAGATGGTCCCTTGGACTGGGGGGATCAGCTCCAGGGCCTCTGCTGATACAAGGTTTGTCTCTCATATGTGGAGTGCAGGCCAGTATCAGGCAGTCCCATGACCCTTCAGGACATCCTCACATAGCTCACATAAGCTTCAAGGCTACATAGAGACTTGGGTTGACACTTTGTCCCCTTGCTATAGGGCTGCTAGGAATTAAGTGGGAAGAACTCCGGCTAGATCTGTGCCACCACAAATGAGTGAGCAAATGTACCCAAGGATTGGGAAAGGGTGAACTGACCCTTGGGGCATCCAGAGACACCTTGCTTGGAACAGAAGCCACTTCAAACTCTGCTCATTTTACACACCTCTCCTCTGCTTGTGTCCACCCCTTGCCTTTTCCAATGATGTGTCACTAGACTTAAGGCCCACCCACTCAGATGACCACACATCAATGCTATCTATCTGCAAAGACCTTTGTTTCAAGATAGCCACACAGCCCAGACTCCAGGTAGTATTCCTCCTAAGTATTTTCCAGAGTGAGTGGCTACTGGAGTAGAGTCTTGGTTACCTTATCTGTGGAATGGGCCATTTCATCCATCCTGCAAATGTCTGCTGTTTAAAGATGTCACACTTGAAGCCAGATATCTGGGCACCCAGCAAGGTGGGTTGCTGGCTCTCCACAGACCCAGGTTACCTACCTGTGGCTTTTTAGTTGATGGGTCCTGTGACTCTGGGCCCCTGGGGACAGGGAGACACAGCTCACATTTGACCTGAGACCATGAGACCAATGGAACTAATGCAACTTGGAGCTAGAAGCAGTGTGATGACAGGAAGACAAACTGTTTTCAGTTGTGGCTATGGAGGCAGTGTTGGGCACAGGTCTGCCTCATACACCTCAAGGTCACCAAAGGATCCTGTGAAGGAGATCTCTACAGAATTTGTCTTTCAGTCCTGTGCCAGGATCTAACTAAGAAGGAAGATATGGCCTGACTGGAAGGTGGTGGCGTATGCCTTTAATCCTAGCAGTTGGGAGGTAGAGGCAGGTGGATCTCTGTGAGTTCCAGGCCAGTCTGGGCTAGAGCTAGTTCCAGGGCTACACAGAGAAACCCTGTCTCAAAAAACAAACAAGAAGAGAAAGGAAGCGAGGGAGGGAGGGAGGGAGGGAGGTTGGACCAGTGTTTAATGGTCTTCTGGATGTATGAAATGTTCCCATGATTCTATTCCTCAACCTGAGCTAAGGTTGTCCTGGTCTTCTGAGAAGGGTATTACCCACATCCCTATCTGTGTAAGTCCTGGTCACAGGGCAGTCAGAAGCCAGCTTGTGGTGAGCAGTTCAGGGCAGCTCAGGACAGGGTACCTTCAAAAGTGCTTTGGTGGAGCCTCCCACAACCCAGGGCACTCCCCTCCTGCTCTGCAATGGAATGTTTTAGAACAAGGAGAGCCTTTACGTGTATAGGGTCTAACTCACATCTCTGCTTTGGGGATACTTCTCCTATAAGCCAGGAAACTAAGGCACAGACCAACCATGCAGTGGTATGAGGATCTGTCAGGCTATGTGAGAATTGGAGCTGATTCTCCACCATGCTGTAGCTCTTTGAGGTATGGGTCTGAATACCACAGACCTGGAAAAGTGATCAGAATCCACCTTGGGTCAACACAGATAGCTTTAGTCTGGAGCCCACAACTACCTCGTAACAAGACTCAAGAAGCAGACTGACAGTCAAGTCTTTAGTACAGTGGGAGGATGCCTGCTTTTATCCAGCCTGGGTGAGGGGTGGCACAAGGGTTGGTTCAATTCCCTCAGAAGAGGGTTCTCTGACAGGGACTCGGGGTTTGGACTAGTAAGTATACCCATCTCAAATCTACAGCCATCCTCTTACCACTGACAGGATGGAGGTGAGGACTAAAACCAGTTATGAGTCAGGACTTGTGGCGTTCAGCTGGCCTGCAGCAGAGCCCTGGGGTATAGTGGCCGTGTTCTATGCTGGACTGGAGGCCACAGCTTCTCTGAATATCTGACCAAATACCTTTCTCTGCATGGGCACCATGGAGTGGGCAGCAGATCTGCTTGTCTGGAGTCTCCCAACCTGTTCCCAGGGTGGATTGGCTCAGGGAACACCTCACAGTATCCTAACTATCACCCTTTGACTGCAGCTCCACCTTGGTGGCTTGAAGGTACAATAGTGGGAGTAGTCACGCCCACCTGTCTGATTAACACACTGCTAACTACCTGTGTCTTATGACTGGTTGAGTTGCTTAGGAGAAACAACTTGCTGGAAGACAACTTGCTAGAGACAGGCAACTTGCTGGAAGTGAGACAGGACAGAAATTTAGAGGCATCTGCCCCACCTTGACCAGGAAACCTTGGGGTTGTCACAGCTTGGGGGTGGGGACAAGTACTGGGATACTGGTGGCATCTAGTGGCAGAGATCAGCGATGCTGCTCAATGTGCATAGTATGACCTTCACAGTTCAAGGAGGCACCACCAGGTCCAAAGTTGCACACTCCCCACCCGCCGTCCTGTTCTCCACAGACCCAGTCAGGCCTGATCTGATCCACACAACTTCAGGCACTAGATGATGGACTAAATGAGGGTTCACTAACTTAACAATGGCCAGAGCCAGGGCAACCAAGCTGTGCCACCCAGTGCCTCTTTTTCCAGAGACACTGTAAGATAGACAGGCAAGACAGGTAGGCAGGCAGGCTTGCAGTAGGTCGGCTGGGGCCAGAGAACTCCACCATATTATGGTCCTGGGAGCACCACTACCCTTCCTCTGGGCTTGTGCACTGTCAGGTGGGGCCTGGCTGGCAGGCCTCCCCTTCCTCAGCCATAAAATGCTACTCTCCACAGGGTTGATGGTACTGCAGAGAGAAGCTATGCACAAGCAGAGACCCCAGCAGGGGTAGCTGGGTGGGACTGCTTAGAGGCCCAGGGAAGAGGACTTTAAGGAACAGCAACCCAAAGACACTGTGTCATACAGTGTGGCCATGGGAACCCAGAGGAGAGGAGGTTACTGAAGTCAAAGTGCCCTGCTGGCCTTTCTTGATAGATGCCTGGTCAGGCATACACAAATGCTGAGTTCAGGTGGGAACAGAGTTGAATTCCTTCCCACCCATGGGACATAGACAGTCTTGTAGTCCCTGACTCAGAGGACAGAGGATGGTGTGTTCCAAGACCTGTCTGCCCCTGGTACATCAGAGGTTGGGGAAAAAGCCAGGTCACTGACTTGCCTGGGCCCTAGACATGTAAAAACTAGTTATCCTGAGATATGGTCCACTCTGAGCCAGCACAGAGCTGACAAGCAGGAGAAACCTAGGGCACTGTGGTCCTGCAAGGCTAACTGGGCCTCACCAGACCACAGCACCATTATAGCCAACCTCAGCCCAGAGACAGCACTGTACTGAGGCTACCTTCTCTCCTCCAACAGGCTTTGGGGCTACACACTACTTGGCTAACTGTGGGTCTGCCAGTGTTCTGCAGACACACCTTTACTTATAAAGAAAGCCTCTGTGGATGAAATCCTTCCAGGTGGCACAGTCGTGGATTAGTGGGCTCCTCATCAGACACAGGAAACAGATGAGGTGACCCTAAGAAGGAAGCCATGTAGCCTGCTGCTCTAGGGGTAGGGGGTTCCAGAAGGACATTCCTCTGACCAACGCAGAGGGCACCCATGTGGAGCACTGCCCAAGCTTGGCATGTATCTGGAGGGAGTGTATGGAGGCCTTGGCACGATGTCCAGCTGGTCCTAGTATGTCCAAAGCTTAAGATGTTGCATCACAATAATCCATACCTTAAGTCCCCCAGTGGAGTTGAAGCTAATCCAAGGGCAACCCTCCAAAGACAGCTTTGGAGGTAGATGGATGAGTGGATACTCCCCCCCAAACATGTCCCCAGGCTTTCCCAGAATGGCTTTGGAGGCTCCAGGCTGCTTATCCTCCTTCCTGTTAGCAGAGGAGTTTAAGTGTTACAGCCCTGACCCCAGTGTGCCTGCACATGGACACAGAATCCCTAAGGAAACTGATAAGGGGCTTCAGATGAGGCTCTGACACTACAAGATACACAGTGCTTTTATGTGAGGAGACCTCAAGGGACGGCTCCCTGCCCCATGGGAAAGCAGAAGGAACGACCCATAAACTAACTGGGCAGCTCTCAAGTCAGTCAACCACCCGATGCTGCTGTCTTTGTCCTTGTAGGCAACAGGTCCCAGTTGAGCTCAAGTGTGCTGCTGATCCAGGCCACCTGCCAGCCATTTCAGAACCTGGCTACCAGCCTTCTTCACAACACAACACAACACAATGCATCAAGCAATGGGACCTCAGCACTCCAACACAGTATACACTATACACTGTGCCTGTTGCTATAATAAGACCTACCCCTGCCCATGAGCTTCAGGATCCAGGTCATGACACCCCATCTCTCTGATCCTAAGGTACCCCACTAAGAGGCAAGCGAAAAATCACTTTGAAGCCCATGAAACATGGCACAGGCCTAGTATCCTGAGCTAGGCATGGGTCACTGTCACCTACTGACAAAGGATACAGCCAACATACAATTGAAGAGCCCACCTGTAGCTGTTTACCCATGCCAGTACACAAGGGTGGCACTTTCCCCTTTCATGATCCCTGGCAGAGCATGTGACCACTCACTCATGGCTCAGGCTAATGAAGACTGCCTCACATTGTATGGATGTGCCAGCCAGTAAAGCCCCTTCTTGGGCGGTCTAAGTGGGAGAAAAGGAGAAAGGTTTTATAGGACACCATCATCTGCAAGCTGTCCCTTACAATCTGCACTGGCCTTGAGAGGTCAATTTGTCCTGTTGCTGTGCAGTACATACCAAGCAGAACTACAATAGAGCTACTTTGTGTCCTCTGGTGACCTGGGCCCATCGATGGGCACAAGGGAAGAATCTTTTATAGCCAACTCCCACACCTGGCCTTGAGAAGGCCTTGCACCCACTCATGTTTGGGAACAACCTGACCTCAAGCCATAGGCCCTTAAGGGTGCTGGGGGCGAGGGAGTCAGTTGATTAGAAAGGGGCACAGCAGGTCAAGGATGGTGGAGTCCCTGGCCACCATGTCTGCCACCTATTGTCTCCCTTACTTCAAGTCTTCTGGGTTGTCTCCAGGGCATTTCTCTGGGGTCACACTGGCCAAGCTGCCAACACAATTCACCCACTTCCACCCACAAGTCCAGTCACGGCCAATTAGATCTAATGCCAGTCTGGGCATTGTCTGCACTTCTGAAAGCACTGGACCAAGTGCAGACACCCTGTGATACCAGTGGCAGGCTGAGTCCTCCCCAGCCTGCTAGGCAGCAGGCACAGCCACAGTGCCTCCATTACTTATACTCCCTCCTCCTGGGACCTGAGGAGAGGGGATGCTTTGGAGGGCTTTCCTGTTCTGGGTCAGAGCCTTAATCTCCTCTGTCTGAAACTCTCTTGTTCACAGGTCTGTAGCTAGCTGAAGCTCTTTCACAATGACATAAGCTCTGAACTGCAGGTCCAGTCCTCACTGGATCCCACATGAGGGGCTGCAGATTCTGTGGAAGGCTGGCAGGGTAGAAGGAGTGAACAACTGCCCACAGGTTTATCACCTTTCCTGATGAGAAGTTAGCCTGGGAAGCAGGGTCATGAGGGCTGGGGTGGGCAATGAGGAAGCTGCCTAGAGCCAGGTGGAAACAGCCACCATGTCCCAGACCCGCACATGTTCCATTAAAGCAGGCCATGACCACATGACCAGAGCCAGGGCCTCTGCCTTCACAGTCCTCCAAGGACTCTGCCCAATGGGAAATGAGGGTGGGCAAGTGCTCTGGAGAGGGGTCAACATTCCAACACTGTCCTTCAGAAGCCAAGGCGTCCATCTGGGTAACAGAACAAATCCCCAGAGGAAACCAGCGCAGGAATTTTGCAGACGCTGCATTGAATCCTGGAGCTCAGAAAGGAACTGCTGGGGGCGTAGGGCGTGCTTGCCACAGCCACCGGAATTATAAACACATTGGGCATTCAAGACTGACAAAAGCTCTGCTGTCCCCTACTCAAGTTTGTTTCCACTAACACCAGGTTCCGGTACTAAATTCCTCACTGTCTGTATCTTATCACGGCCTCTGCACTCCTACCTCCAGGCACATGCTTTGCAGTGTGACTGGGGCTGTGAGCAATGAATACAATCCCCTCTGCCCATAAAACAGGTTTTGACCACTCCATGGGGCATTCAGGTGATGCTCAACCCAACTCCTTCCCTGGCAGTTGGCCAGTGTCGCTGTGCCTGAGAGCCTTGCTAACCAGACTCCCAAAAATGTGAACCGTCTCCTAAAAGCATCTGGAAAGGTGCTGGAGGGAACCCTCTGGAACCCCAAGAAGGCTCCTGGTAGATGAATTAGCAAAGGCTTCAGGCCACTCTGCTGCTGGACTCTGGGTGGGCAGTATCCCTGATAATCCCTGCCCAGATGCTCTCGAAAGACTGGGGCCCAGCTCTGGAAGCACCACCTGGGCCATATTCTAAAATTCTCATCAACCCAAACATAGTGGCAAACGGTTCCGGTCATATGTAAACACTGTACAGATGAATGAGGCCAAGAGGACCTCTGCCACAGGGAAGGATGTGGAGCTCCTGCAGACAGTGCCCACCCCTGCAGGAGGGCAGGTCCCACACCTCAGGCTTCTCCAAGCACTTGTAGATGCATGTTCCTAGGCTGGCTCAAGTCTGTGGAGTGAGGCTCCACAGAGGAGGGAAGGCAGAGAACTGACTGGAGACCATCACAGGTACCCATTCACATCCTCTCAGGTCAGTCAGGAGGCCTTAGCCTCCTGGATTGTAAAGAAGGTAAGCTCCATGAAGGTAAGCTCATACATACAGAAAGATTAGAAAAGGAGGCAGACCCAGCCAAATGCCAGCTCTGTGCTGAGTCTGCTCTCATCTATAAAATGAAGACTAAGGTCCTTGCTGCCTCTACCCCAGGGCAACACCAGGGCAGGGCTTTCTCTGCAGCTCCCCGGTCACCAACTAATGCTGAGCATTGGCTGATGCTAAGGGCTTGACTCTGCAGTGTTCTGGCTCTGCCTAAACAGTGCCCCAAACTCTATGGGGCAGCAATGGCCACTATTTGCCACAATGTTCAGCCAGCTCCTATCCATTCTTCATTTAGGCAACTATAGAGACTGAGATAAATGCAAAGGAGGATTGCAAACAGGGGCCCTGGGCTGGGCTTGAGCTGCAGGTACTCTACTTCAGTTCACCCCATAAAGGCTGGAATTTAAAACCCAGACCCTTGTCTTTCTATCTCCCCAAAAGGGACTCCTTAATAAACTGTATACAATTCTACTGTGGAATAGTACATAGTTATGAAAAATAGGTGAACAAAGAGACAGGAAGACAGACAGACATGAGTGTGCTTGTATGTATCAGGATTTCCAGACAGCTGGCAGAGCATCACATATGGCTTGTGGATCACAGGGATCACAGAGAGAGCATGCCTCACTTTTCCCTTCACCCCTCCCAGCAGCCTCAGAAGGCAGCCAGGGAAAGAGACTCAGAGATCCAGATGATCTCCACAAGATCATACAACATGTGACCAAAGTCCACACAGTCTTAACCCGCTGCTCTACATTCCTCATGCCAGCAGGGCCTGCCTAAGTGGCAAGATGACAAGAGATTTGCCTTGCTTTTATACCCACTGACACTCTTAAATTAAAGCAGTGCACCTGCCTTCCAGGCCTGTTCCCTGAGCTCCTTACCGGCTGGCTGTACAGCCACTGGGCCCCTCATCTGAACACACTGTGAGGCCTTGCTACTATTCTCCTGCAGGGACCCCACTCCTGAAGGCACTCTTCACATGTCATTGAAACCTAATTCCCAAAGCCTGTCACACAGCCCCTGGACACACAGGCATGAGAATCACCAAGAACCATGCTTCTGGATGGAGAACAGATCAGTCCCCAGAGAGACCTCACACGAGGGACATGCTGGCCACAAAGCAGAGGGAGGGGTGCTGTGTTGGGTAAAACCCTGCCAGATGGAAGCTCCGATCCCTCAACTTCCTGCACAGATGGGACCTGCAGACACTTGGGACCTGGCAGAAGCTTCACAGGCTCCTGCCCACTAACTAGGGACAGAGCTTTGTAAACATTTTCTGGAGCTCACAGTTTCTTCTGCCATTCAGCTTTCCCTGGGGCCAACTCAATGTCCCAGGTAAAGTAGTCAAGAAGGACCAGGCCAACTCCTTACTGCACTGGGGGTGGGGGTGGGGATGGAGATGGGGATGAGGGTCTCATGTCGGGTCACTCACCCTTTCCCATCTGGATGAAGCCAAGCAGGATGATGAGGGCCAGGGCCAGCAGCTTGGCAGCAGCAAAGGCATCCTGTACTCGGGTAGCAGCCTTCACGCTGTAGCAGTTCACAGCTGTGAGCAGCACTGTGGGGAAGGACACAGAGAGAACAAAGCATGAGTCCCCACAGGGCAGGCGGTCTAGTCCAGGGTCGGGCATGGAGGAGGTAAGGTGCTCCTGGCTGGGATCCACAGAGGCAAAGCCCTGCCTGCCCGTGGGCTCTGACTTTCTGGGACTTGTTTTGATAAGCTAGCTGATTCTCTGGGGCCAAGGTCAAAGGTTAGAAACACCAACTCTTCAAAGAGCCTGATCCCAAGTGCCCTGGGATAGTCTACAACAAATTTCCTTTCATCTTTTTTCTTTCTGGTTTTTAGAGACAGGGTCTCATCATGTAGCCCAGGCTGGGCTCAAACTCAAGATCTTCCTGCCAAAGCTTTCTGAGTGCTGGGATGATAGGCTGCACCAAGTTTTTTTTTTTTTTTTCCTTTCTTATTTTTAGAACTATTATTACCGGGGCCTTTTGAGACAGGGTCTCGCTATGCAGCCCCATTGGCATTGAACTCTGGATCCTCGAGGAAAAGCTGCCCCAAGTTTTTTTTTTTTTTTTTCCTTTCTTATTTTTAGAACTATTATTACCGGGGCCTTTTGAGACAGGGTCTCGCTATGCAGCCCCATTGGCATTGAACTCTGGATCCTCCCCTCCAGCTTACTGAGGGCTAGAATTAGATATGTGCTATCATGTCTGGCTAAGAGTGCCATGTTAACTGAGTGGTCTCGGCCTCCTGAGCGACTCCCATCAGAACCACCTTCATCTGTTGTCACCCATATGTACCCAATCCTATGGAAAAGCACTGGCTGCAGACTCAAGTGAAATCCAAACCTACCACCTGGAGGGTGGCTACTTAGCCCTGGGTACCTATGTGGTTCTCGGACAGCACAAGCTAGGGTCGAGCATAGCGCTGTAAGCTGTGAGGTGACTCTCTCCTTAAAGACAACCTTCCATGGGGCTGGTGGAAGCAGGGAGGTGAGGCACCGTGTATCTGTGGATCTGATAAGCTGAGAGGAGGCGCAGTGTGGCAGTGTGGGCATAGGCTGCTGGTGAGAACTGAAGGGAACAAATGTTCCCACATGCTGCTGCATGCAGGTGGGCTCAGGGCATGACAAAACAGACACATGTGCAACTGTACTGCTGTTTAGCAGTACTGAACATGAAAACCATGATTAATATTCTGTAGATACCTAAGCAACTGAACCACACAGGGTGAAGACAGGGCCTGGGGGTCCAGTAGGGCTACAGATAGGCAGCTGAGGTAGGGCTTCCTGGTCCCCTAATGAACCCTAAGACCTTGGCAACAGTGTGGCGGCGTGGAGTAAGGAGATGGGGATTCAACACTGTAACGTATGTAAACATAAATGAAAACACTGACAAACCAACAACCACTCCTACCCCACCACCTTGGTAGCAGCTGGGTGCCCATACTAGAGATTCCCCTCCCCCGCTTCCTCAGCTATGAGGCCAAGAGAGTCAGGGAACCTCTACAACCCACACTGGGGGAGGGGGCAGTACCTGGCTTTGCCTTAGTCAGACATTAGCCAGTACAGCATGCAGCCTGAGAGGCCCCCAACAAGGTACCAGTCTACCAGCATCCTGGCTTCTCCAGGATGTAGAAGCTCATTGCTTCCCTACTGAGCAACTACCAGAGAAGCTGTGCCGATTCAGGCCTCACAGATGCCAAGCAGCATTTTCCCCAGCCAGACTAATTATACGTAATTTTGCAGTTTGGGGAACAGACCACAAAGACAGAAATCCACATTAATTATCTGGACTTGGCCTACGTCAGGTAGAAGGGAAACAGGAAGACTCCCTGGTGCTGGCGGATGGAGACCTCGGCAGTTGCTTTACCTCCAGGAAGTCAGAGATCTCATTAGCATTGAGTCACCTCCCTCTTTATAGCTTTGGCTGATGTAATAATTCGGGCTGTGACTATGCTCTGAGAAAACTCCATTGGCTGGGTAGCTGCTGCTACTACAACTTGCTTGAAAACTCCCACAGTCTCCCAGAGAAGAGTGAGAAGGGAATACAGGATAAACACATGAGTCCCATATGAAATGCTTTCCCCATCTGGAGCCTTTGTCCCTTTACCCAGAGATCACCATTCTCTCAGCCAGCTTTCCTCAGACAGTCCTGATAGGTGTGATGACAAAAGCCCAAGATGCGAATCCGCTCTTGATCCCATCTCCCCAGATACCAGGCTTCTGTACAAGAGGCTGGCCGACTGCATCACTAGCCAGATCCCACTTGGCTAGGGTGAGCCGACAGGAGGGGTGTGCCTAAGCCCAAAGCCACTGTCACTATGCCACAGCCTTGGCAGCTGTGGTCTCTGGTTTCTGGCTTTGAAGGGAAAATATGACACAGCCCTGGGCTCCAGATAATGTGCCTCTGCTGAGTCGCCCTGTATGACGTGTCCTTCTGAACCTGAGGGAGGGAACAGGGTGTTAGAGCACCATCCTGGCTGTTGGGGGTCCCTCCTCTGCTACCCCAACACCCTGCCCTGTTTGAGGGCCAAGTCAGCTTCTCCCTTAAAACAGGCCTGAGCCCAGACTCCAGGCCAAGTGGGCAGAGGAGGGCCAGCGTGGCTGGGCCTCGGCAATTGAGGCTGAACTCTTTCTTCCTAGCTGCTGACTTCTCTGACCTTAGAATAAGAGAACAAAAGAGACTCTATACTCTCACGTCTCTTATAAAAAGACTGAAGCAGGTGATGAAATGGTAATGCTCACTGACTCGGTAACGAGCAAACAAGGGTATTATTATTTTCCACAGCCCTGTTTTCAAAACGAAATAATCTGAGATAAATGAATGGATTCATCTGAATCCAGGGGCTTCTGGCCTTCATGAGACGTTGTCATAAGAGGCAGTCAGAAGACTGACCGGAAGGAACCTCAGCTCCCTACCCAGACAATCTGTCACCTCTCCACTGTTTCCCCACCAAAGACAGGCAGTAGAATTGGCTGCTGTGACACACTGCTGTTGATATGCAGCCTCTGGCAGGGGGAGAAGGGTGACCATGGCACAGGGTGGGAGGGGGGTGGGGGGGTGGAAGCTGGTCCTCTTTGGAGTTCCCCTCATGGCACCCCTAGATAAGTATGGTTGTGTTGGCTCTCAGCACCAGCTGGGCCAGTGAGATAAAGCCCAGTGCCTCATACCGGGTGCAGATAGCTGTCAGGCCAGGCCCCCATTCCACAGGTCTAATAATGACTGTTTTTCACAGGTCAGGTTAGTTTTCATCCCTAGCCAGCTGCATGGTACCACCCAGAGCCATTTGGCTTACCACAAGGCTCCCTCCATGGCTCACATCTTACAGAGGTATCGTGTGCTGGAGAGAGAGACTCTTTACTGTCTGGCTGTGTAAGCAGAACACAGTGCCCCAGCCATGGAAGAAACCCTAGGGTCACTCTGACACCACCTGACCCATGGCTGAGCAGGCGTTTGGCACCAAGGCACTGTGTGGATGTGGTCTTTTGTTCTGGTTGGGGGTCTATAAGAAGGTACCAGGATCGCCCCTTGAAGACTATACTCAGGGCAGAGACAGCCACTGAATAAACAGTTGCTGCCTCATTCACACCAATAAGCAGGTGGCAGAAACTCACCAGGCAAATGTGGCTGGTCCTGCCCAGAGTTCCCCAGCAGCACTAAATCTCCCAAGGCTCCTGAGGCAGACTAGAGGAAGTGGCTGGTGGCTTCGCTGGTTCCAGGAAGCATGGTGGGGCTGGTCCCTCAGGGAACCAGCAGCTGGACTAAACTTGAGATCCCACCCAGCAGAGTTCTTATCAAACAACAGTTGGCAGCAGACCTGGGACCCTGTCTGGAGGTGATCTGACTCCCGTGAGTGGCTCCATCTGAATCCAATCAGCACACACAGGAACCCGGGATTAGAGGGCGATCCCATAAGACTCCCTAAGAGTCAGTGGCATCTCCTGATTCCTTAAAGTCGTGTGTCTCCAATTCCCCACTCAAGTCTCCCAGGTAGGGCCCAAAAGAGCCCCAGTGGGCACCTCTGTGCATTGATTCAGGATTTGCCTTGCAATAAATGGGTGGGATGTCTAATGGCCAGTCACCCCAGAACTCATCTGACCAGACTCCCCAGGTGCTGGGAGAAACAAACAAACACATGACTAGAACTTCCACCCCGACAAGTCCAAGATAGCTGAGCTTCTGAGGTCAGCAAGTTCCCACACATGCTGAATCCACTAGCCCAGGGCACCGACTCACACACCAGTGGGCGACTTCTCTAAGCTTCTTTTTCTGGGCTCCAGAGAATACATGTGGTCACCCGAGCCTTCTCCACTGCTGGCCTCTGAGGTCGGGAAACCTGCAGGGTGTGACGCAACTCCAGTATAGGATGTCACTCTGATGGGCCAAGAGAAACGAACTCACGACTATATGTCTTGGCAGAGGAAGGGCTGTGGAGTCTTCAATGTTCTATGGACATAGTGACTAACAGGCTGGTCATACATGTTCCTGTGCCCACCCTTAGGCTCAGATCATGTAGTTTCTCCATTATCTTACTCTTGATGTGGGGATGGAGCCCAGACCTCATATACACTACGCACACACTTAGTACTAGTCAACCAAATACAGTTCCAAGGGTGCAGTATCACCGACTGTTCAAACAGGCCTGGCATATTCTTTCAACAGACCAGAAAACATTGGCTTAATCAATTGAAACTCACTAATACCTCACTCCTGGGCCAAGAAAAACACCCACTTCCCCCCACCACCCCCCATAACTTTCTAAGACTTCTGAAACAAGTTCCCTGAAGACAGAAGTCTCAAGAGTTCCTGGGAGCTCCCAAAAGGAGATAGCATACTTAATGCTTCTAAGCCTATGCTGCCCTTTCTACAAGCAGAACTGCCACTAACACCATACGGCTTAAATCCCAAGCCAAAGGCTTCATGACCCTTTAATATGATCACTGCAATGCTAAATATCCAAAGGATTGGAGCCGTGGATGAGTGATAAGGGTCACCACCAGCTAAGTACGGAGTCTCACACATCTGCATATGGCACCTCCAATTCCTCCATAGTGAAGCTATCAAGGAAAAGCAGGTCAGACCTGCTCCAGCCACACAGTAGTTCTTGGGGAAGGAGGACACCCAAATCCCTAAGTACCATAGCCAGCCACAGGACTAACCTTGATGTCCCTAAAGCAGTACTAGAGCAGTCTAGTTGTAGGTATAAGTGTAGGTGTAGGTGTAGGGGGTGTGTGTGTGTGTGTGTGTGTGTGTGTGTGTGTGTATTTGTACTCACTGGATGTCATGGTGCATCCAGGCGTCACCAGAATGCAACCTGTGTTGGGGAAGGGGGGGAGTGGGGAGAGCATGTAGTTCTTAATAACAGACTCCAAGGCCTTTGTCCATCTCAGTCAAGTCCAGCAGGTGCTGTGAGAAAAGCCAGGGCAGAATCCCTGGGCTTAGGGGAATTGCCAGCTGAATGGGCCTAACAACCCAGGACACCAATGTACAGCAGTTTAGGAAGTTGATCTGCTCAGCAGATGTGGCCCCTGCAGTCTCTACCTTACCTATTGTTGTGAGAACTATCAACCCCATCCTGGACCATAAGTCTGGGGGCTCACAGATCAGGAAACAGAGTCAGGAGCTGGCTCAGGCAATCTCTGTGGCCCTGAATCCTTCCACACAATCTAGGCTAATGAGGCCCCCCGGGAACCCAGTAAAGATATACTCCTGCCACCTAAGCTGGTGGCCTGTTCAGAAGAAGTATAAGCTGAAGGCAGGCCCCTCACTGGCCATGAGCAGCTGCCACACCATAAGGTCTTAGCAATGACAGATGCTGGCCAGCCCCAAGGTCAGGATGACTCAGTGTGGATCTGGTTGCACACACGAGGCTCTTGAGAACTGGGATGGGAAATCCTGCTAATTCTTTACATAGCAGCAAATCCTGGAACAGGGGAAGTGTGGGCACAGCACAGAAAAATATCCAGCCAATGGCTGGTCTGATGGCTGGTGCTCAGGAATGAGACATCTCGGGCTCTTAGCCTTCCTGTGGCACACAGATGTGATGTAGCTGGCCACCTGGAAATCAACAGTTCAGAACACTGCTAGATAACAGGGGCTGCTGGGTGTGAGTCCTCTGGTTGGGTCAGGGCAGTGGAAGGAACAAAGGTGTCTGGGGGATATATCAGAGGCTAGTGTGGAAGACTGGTTGCAGGTAGAATGGGGAAGACCTGGGACATGGAACACGCTGTTCTAGCAATCCACAAGTCATGCTGAGTGGGGGTGCTGAGCCTATTGCTCCCTGAGCCTTGTGGCAACCCTACCATGTCCCAAAGGTAGATAAGGAGGGTGGTGAGAATGAGAGGCATCTCAACATCCAGGACTTCCCAGGGTGGACTGACTGCACTGTTTAAAGGCCATCCCAGTGGAGACTCTGGTAGGGTGATGAAAGGGTGGCTGGACAGTTTCTTGCAGACACCATCAGGGGAGGTGTCCTTCCTCAGGAATTTAAATGCTGATGAAATTCTGAGCAGCCTGTTTCCCTACTCTAGCAGAACAGACTCCTGGATGTAGTGACCAAGGCCACCTCAGGATCCTGGTACCTGTTACCCTGCCCAGAGGCAGGGGTGGGTGTTCCCATTCTAACTCCTACCTCAGTTTCCCTACCTGTGAGATATGGGGATGATTACATGGATTTCCAGGGCTAAAGCAGAGAAAATATGCAGAGGGCAGGCATGTGCCATGCAGGAGGCAATGCTTTCAGGGTGCTTGTCCTCACCTGTGTCTCAGGGCCTGGGACTGTGGCTGTGTAGGGTGACTATGGCCACTATGCATGTACCCGCATTGTTTCTAGGCAGAGATCCTGGACATGCTATGGATTACCCAGAGGTCTATAATCCTCCCTACCACCCCCACCTCCACCACCAAAAGGGTTAGAATGCTTAAATGCCTAAATGCCTGCCTTACTTCCCACCTGTCTTGGTACAGGTTCTGTGAACTTACTCATGTCTGGGGCTGCAGGTCCTATGACTGGGTGTCATCTGCATGTACTTTCATGTCTCGCTGGGAAAGCCGATTTCAGTGCTAATTACTGAGCTGCTGGCAGCATTGAGCTTATGGCTCCAGACACTGAGGCCACTGGCACCTTGGCAATATCAGCTCAGCTCAGCCATGGCAGTGGCTGTGCTCAGAAACTCCAACCCAGGCCTTTAGAGGACTGAGAAGCAGGTTCTACAGCAGAGGCAGTACTTGGAGTAGAAACCAGCAGGTGCCTTGAAGAGATAGGGCAAAAAGCCATGCCACCCCCATCCTCTCTAGTTGCTATTCAGCTGACCTACTGGCCTGGTCAGCAAAGCCTGGCCAGCCCAATGACCATCAGAAACCCAGGCCGGGCTGAGTGGGAGTATATACTTCTTCACTCACAGCCCACTGGCAACTTAAGCCCTGCAGCCCAAGCTTCACTTGACACTACCTGGAGGGCCCAGGGAAAAGAGGCAGCTAACATCCTCCAGAGTTTCTTTCTCCTGTCTCTCATCCTTTTCTCAATGCACAGTGGGTTCTGGGGCTGGGCTGCTCCATGGTAAGAGGGGACAGAGTACAGAAGATGACACTTAGATCCTGTGTGACTGGCCCTGTCTGTGGTGCAAGCTAAATAAAATTCTCCACCCACACCCAGACAGGATAGACCCCCATTTTACAGAGTTACAAGTGGAGGCTCAGAGAGTCCTTATGGATTTCTCAAATCAGAAACACAATGCTTGTGATCTGATACCATGTGGGAAATATCTCAGGCCACAGGTTCCCAGGCACATGTCAGCTAAGAATGTCCAAAATCCTGCCCAACTTAATTTGGTGGAGAGCAAGGAGTAGTGAGTTTCCTGGCACTGGGGAGCCCAGGCCAGCCAGTCACTCTCTCTCTTGAGATGGTGAGAAGAGTCCTCAGTCACCTGAGAGCAGACTTTGGCAGGTATGATCCCATCTTCCACCTAGTCAGGAAAAGGACAGGAAGCATACCTTCAATGTTTTAAACTAGTCAACAGGCCATATCCTTCATACTCTAAGCCTGGGAAAGTGACACAGGTGGGAGAGGAACAGTGAACCTGTTCAGACCATTCCTTCCAGGGGCTTCTCTCCAGAGAGAAGAGAACTGCTACATCCAGAGCCTATGCTGCCTTCTGGAATCTAGGCTGCTACACTCCTCTGCACCTCAGCACAGACAGCCATGGCCCTGTGAGATTAGATAAATCCCAGCCCAGACAAAAGCTCAGCTCCAGATTGTAGGATTCTGCAACAAGTCAAATCTGGCCACTAAGCTAGTCATCTGGGTAGAGGGACTATGAAGTGAAAAGTACCCCCAGAAGAGCTGCCTGGAGACAAGTCTATAATGCATTTTCTTGGTGAATGAGTCATGTGGGAGGGCCCAGCTCACTGGGGGAGTGCCATGAGTGTGCAGGTGGTCCTGGATGCTACAAACTGTTAGTAATAAATAAAACCTTTACCCCTGAGTCGCTTTTGGTCATGGTGTTCATCACAGCAGTAGAAACTTACCTAAGACAATGGGCTCCAAGTCAACTTGACACTACCCAAGCTACTGAGATTCGCTTAGGCAAGAACAAGCCTCGCACCCCAGGCCTCACTCATAGGCACATGACCATCCAGAAAGATGTGGAGAGCAAGTCTTCTAATCTTTATGAAAGACTCCTCTCCAATTTTCCCATATCAGGCCAAGGACATAGGGAGGGATCCAGACTCACTATAAGGCAGATGGCATTTACCTTTACCATGAGTGGGTTCATTCTGGGCTAAGGCCAAGTCATTTCTCAATACATTCTTAACTGGGTGAAGGAAACTTGTGGAGAGACAAGCACAAGAACTCAAAGCACCATCCAATGGAAACCAGACCTCTGCTCTAAAACTCTGACTGTTAGTGCTGCCTCAGGGCCTTTCCCAAGGCATGGAAGCCAGGGAACACTATGTTCTCAGAGGTGCCCTCCAGAGGGAACAGGGCATTCAATGACATACACTGAAACTCCTCAGAGTGCAATCCTCCCAGAGCCAACACCCAGGTCTTTAAAGACTGTGCAGTCCTTCTGGGCCTCCACTATGACTGCCTGGGGTCCTCTTGCCTCACCAAGCCTAGCTCCCTTTCTAGATTTCTGCCTGTTTCAAGCAGGCACAGATGAGGATTTCTATGCAGAAACCTCGAGAACCCTCATTCTAACTAGAAGGCAGCAGCATACACACACCTGTGAAACACAACTGTGTCTGCAACACTTCCCAAGTGGAGACCAAGTGAGCAGAAAGATGATGACTGACAGATCTCACCGTGGCACTCCAGAACTCAGGCCAGGGTATGTCCATTCTAGAACTCACCAGAGGGTTCTACCCATAGCAGCCACAAGGATTGTAAGAAAGCTACTTAAGACAATTTTAAAATCACTGTGTCATGGGGCTGAGGAGATAAATCAAAAGCATTGGGTACTCTTCCAGAGGACTGGGGTTCAATCCCCAGGACCCACACAGTAGCTCACAACTGTCCTTCACTCCTGTCCCAATGGTTCTGACTCTCTCTTCTGACCTCCATAGGCATGCACATAGGTGGTGCACAGACATACATGCAGACAAGACACTCATACACATATTTTTTTGCTTAATTAAAACAAAACAAAACAAAAAAACACCAAAACCCTTACATCACAAAAGAAGTCCGTGAAAGCGACTTGCTGCAGGCTCAATGGAAGGCACTAGCTATTGGAACAGTCACCAACCCCCACCCCGTTCATTCTAAAGACTTGGAAACTCCAAATGCTTTGCAAGCTTGTTGGAGCCCTAGATAAAGCTTTCCTGAAGAGTTGAAACATGCTGGATTCCTTAGGGCTTTAAAAAGAGTGTCCATTATGATTCAATTGGGACTTTACCATTAGCTACACGGTGGGGTTGACAGCAAGGTGGATCTCATGTTTGACTCTCACATGTTTATATAAGTTGAATATTTACAGAATTATGCATTCATGTTATTATTTTACTTATTTGTTTTGTTTCTTGAAGACAGGGTTTCTCTGTGTAGCCCCTAGCTGTCCTGGAACTCTGCAGATCAAACTCTGAGATTCAAGCCTCTGTGCTGGGATTAAAGACAGGTGTCACCACTGCCGGGTGGTTTTGTTTTGTTTTTGTTTTTGTTTTTTCAAGACAGGATTTCTCTGTGTAGCTTTGTAGACCAGGCTGGCCTTGAACTCATAGGGTTCCACCTGCCTCTGCCTCCCAAGTGCTGGGATTAAAGGTGTGCGCCACCCCCCACTACTACGCAGCACAGCCTGGCTTTTTAAAAATTATCGTTGTTATTATTATTATTAAGACATTTAGGCAAGTGAGATGCCTCAGAGGATAAAAGGGCTTGCTGCCAAACATGAAGATCTGAGTTCCATCCCAGGGACTCACGTGGTGGAAGGAGAAAACTCCCATAAATTATTCTCTGACCTCCACCAGTGTACAAAATAAATAAAACATTGAAAACAAATCTTTAAAGAAAGGACATTTGTAAACCTTCACCTCACTGCCTCCCGTGGGGCAAGCATTGCTTCCTACACTTACTGGCACCTGCAGAAGCAGCAGAAACCAGCTTCCTAGGTCTATTCTGATCAGAGAGTGAGGCTCTTTAAGGATACCCATGCCACCTTGGCATGGTGGCACACACACTTCCTCCCTGCACTTGGGAGGCAGAGAGAGGCAAGGAGTAGGTCAGCCAGGGCTACATAGTGAGATCCTGTCTTAAAAACAAACAAACCCCTAAAAATACTCACGCCATTCCCTCCCTATCTTGCCTAAAAAGCCAAGTAATTCCCCTCAACGATGAAAAGTGGATAATTAAAATTCTGACTACACAAGGGCAGAAATCACCGTTCCAAGGCTAGGCTGTTCCTTGTCAGCCCAGTTCATCTGCAGACCAACCATGGCTTTGGCCATTTTTTACACAGGAACCAAGCAAACAGCATGGACCTTACTGTGTCAGTCTCTGACCAGAAGGATAAGATGAGGGCTACGTAACTAATAACATGAGACAAGTTTCACGGCCAAAGTCCCAAAAAGCAGTGCCATTCATCTCCCAACTGTTTTTAGAAAGCAGAAATCAACCCTTCTTGACCTATGAGTCTTGTAAGCCCTACAGTCAACAGAAGTTATCGGGCACACCTTGGGACCTCCCCAAGCCCACCCATACTTGCCGGCAGCCAAGCACCAGATGGGCAACCTTTATCGGATTTTGCTGCTCAGTCCTAATGAGCAAGCAGCCTTTACTACCACACACATTATTACTAATGTTTTCTTATGCGTCAGCCATTCACTAATTCCTGGCAGGCCAGTCTGAAGAACGTAAGGTTTTTTTTTTTTTTTTTTTTTTTAAACTGCAATTTCCCTCTTAGCAACCAGTCAGCAATTGAAGCTGAAACAGGAAACTGGCACACCAGCTACTCCACGTGGTGCTTTGCAAGAGGCAGGGAGGTATTGCTCTCACGCAGACAAGCTAGACAGCTCGTATTTCAATGAATCAGGTCGGGAAGCGGGATACCTACCGCTTCCCGACCTGAGGCGGCATCCACTGAGGTCTCGCAAGGGTGACCCCGAAAGTGTAGACACTGTGGATGAGTTAAAGAAACGCACGTGGGTTCTGGAACCTGTGCCTTTAGCCTGAAACTGCCGACACGGTCCAGGGATGGAGAGATGGAAGACGTTCGGGTGGGCACGCGGGATGTAGAAAACGTGCTGCCGAACTGTAGGGACCTCGGTTCTCGCCCGCCCCGCTCCAGGTTCGGGCCCCTACTTACGCACGCAGAGGCAGGCCACGAGCTTGGCTGCCTCCTCCGGCACTGGACAGGTGGGAAAGATCGGCTTAAGCAGGTACGTGGCGAAGACCAGCGCCACGATGTACTGTGAGGAGGGCCGAATGATGAGCAGCTCGATCCAGAGCTTGAGGAAGGCGGGCAGCGAGCCGTATACCTCCAGCATGTAGGCGTAGTCGCCGCCCGACTTGGAGATGGTGGTGCCTAACTCGGCGTAGCAGAGTGCGCCCACGATGGAGAAGACACCGCACACAGCCCACACCACAAGGGCCAACCCGGGCGAACCCGCCTCCTTGAGCACACCCGTGGGTGTAACGAAGATGCCCGAGCCGATGATGGTGCCCACAATGATGGCCACACCGTTGAGCAGTGTGATGTTGCGCTGCAGGGTCACGCCTTCGGCCCCAAGGTCCGCGCCGTCCGCGCGCCGCGCCTCCAGCATCTTCTCCCGCGCTTGCTTCTCTTCCTCCGCCGCCGCCGGGACCGCCACCGCGCGCCGCTTGGCGCCCGGGCCGGCCATGCTTTCGGCGCTCCCGGCTCCCCCCCGGGCCCCCGCCCCCCCCGCCGCCCCCCCCCCCCCCCATAGAAACCCCCCCCCCCCAGCGCCCCCCCCCCCCAGGGCCGCCCCCCGGGGCGCGGAGGGAGGAATCAAGACCGAGCCGCACTAAGCGTTCAGAGAAGCGCGTCTACGCTCGCGCCACCCTAGCGGCCTTTTATCCCCGCCGTTACCCGCTCACCAGGCTCCGCCCATCACCGCCACCGTTGGTCGGTCGGCAAGGGCCCACCCATCTCTTCCGCGTGGCCCCGCCTCCTCCGCGGCCCCGCCCTCAGGCCTGTTAGAGCGCTTCGAGTTCTGATGGGGGCTTCTGATGCGCGATCTATCGCGCAGTAAACCACGTGGGTGAGGAGCTCACCTCCTCACAAGGTCCTCTGTGCAGGATTCCGGGGGTCGGACTGTAAGGGTGTGCTTCTCTTCCCTCCTTCCTCTCCTGCCTCGGGTGGAAGTTAGTGATGCAGAAGACTCGCCTGTGGTCAAAGCACCGGAAAGGTGGTTCAGGGTGCACGCCCACCACCTGCAGGGAATCCAGGCCTTGCCTCGCTGGGATTGAGAAGGGACTTATCGCACCTTCCTCCAGTCTGCACATCCTGTGCATCTGGGAGAAGTGGCGTGCTGGGGGTTGGGGGTACTCATGTGGTCCAGCCTGGAGGAAAAAGTCAGGGGGTGAAGTGATCCATCAGCTCTGGAAGCAGGGAAGAACAAGGCAGGATGGGAGCATCCGGTTCCTGGACTTAGATACTCTTCTGATCCAAGGAGAGTCTTGTCAGAAGCGTTCCTAGTGGCACACCCATCCTGAAGAAGCAAGTTTTGGAAGAGGGGAAACTGCATACTCAGTGAAGCTAATATGGGGGCCCCCTAGTAAGAGAAACCCCCATATCTTTGTAGGGATTTTAAAGGCAGGCTGTAGGGTGAGAGGGCTGTAGTGTGTCATTCTTAGGAAATCTTAGATAAGAGATCTTTTGAGGAGGCAATGTGGTCAGAAGTTTGAGAAGACAGTCATCACCCCAGGCCTGGTTCAGGGAATGGTGATTTGAGCTGACAGGTGTGCTGGGAAAGTTCCAATCACTGATCAAGGTCAGACTGGGAAGCCCCATGACCACCTTTTCACCTACTGCCCCCTTCTCTGTCCTAAGGGGCCCTCAGGAAAGCTCACAAACAAGCAGAAGCCAGGGTAAGGGCCTTAATTCAAGGAGAACCTTCAGACCTGTGAAGATGCAGGGCTAGTTGCACTTTGCAAAAAGGTCCAGTCTGCAGGTACCTCTGGCTTCCCCACTCCTGAGGTGTGACCAAAGAAGAAGTTCAAACTTCTCATGATCTCTGCATCTATAGCTGCAGCCAAGAATGCCGAAGCTGTCCTTGGAAGCCCATGTCCAGGAGGTGTTTAGCCAAGGACTCCACGGCATGTCTCTGGAGCCCCCACCCCACCCGTTCCAGGTGACAGTCATACACATCAATGACAAACTGGAATCTCTGTAGCCAGAGCAGCCAAGGTGCTAAAAGGTCACGCTAACATTAACATGCCATACTACAGACCGCCCAAGTTGGTGGCTTTGGGAAGGTTGAGAAACCCTCTCATTCTTTTGTTTGTTTTCCAAGATAGGTTTTCTCTGTGTAACAGCCCTGGCTGTCTTGGAACTCCCCCTATAGACCAAATGCACAGAGATATCCCTGCCTCTGCCTCCTGAGTGCTGGGATTAAAAGCGTACGCCACCACTCCTGGCCACCCCTCTCATTCTGTACATCGTCCTTTCAGAAAGCCAACGCATACCACCCACTCACTGAGACATTGCGTAGATCCCAAGGTGCAGCTCCTAATTTAATAAGACATGTGGCAATTCTTAGAGCTGCTTTGTAAATGAGGAAACCGGCTTTGCAGTTGTGTTAACTTGCCTGCCCAGGAAGTGCACCCTTGCGACCTCCAACCTCAAGGCCAGCAACTTGTCCACTTCTCACCTGTGGTGGCTAACCCTGTTGGAGCCTGTTCCCATTCACAGTAGCTAGATTCTGCCATGGGGGGGCTTTGATTTGAGCCAGAGGTAGCAATAGTTCATGTAAGTGTAAAATCACAATCATAATTAAGCCAAGTGTACTACAAGAGGCCAAGGAGAGTGGTAATGGGGAGAAACAGGCAGGTTCAAATAGATTTTCTAGGTCTGGAATTCAGAGAAAGTATTAACATTAACAAGGAAGGCAGAGGGTGGTAACCTTGTGTTCAGCAAAGTGCCCGGGACAGTTAGGGGGCTGGTGCCTGGGGATTGGGGTCCTGGGAAGTTGCTGTGGTCCTTTCCAGGAAGGGTAACCAGGTCCAGTGAATGTCCCCAGGATGCAAGGCTGTGTCTAAGGTAGGGCCTTAGACTTTTTCCTGAAAAACAGTTTTGGTGTATATTAATTCTCTCTCCCCACCATGTAACTCCTTTTCTAGCAGCTAAGACTCTGAAATCTTTTCCAGCAGTGCCATCTACTGGCAGATTTAGGAATAGGTTTTTTTGTTTTGGTTTTTTTTTTTTGGGGGGGGGGGGTTTGTTTGTTTTGTTTTTCAAGACAGGGTTTCTCTGTATTGTCCGGCAACTTGCTCTGTAGACCAGGCTGGCCTCTGCCTCCCAAGTGCTGGGAGACGTGCCCCACCAATGCCCAGTTTGCAATAGTTTCATTGTAAACACCAAATTTCCTCATTTAGACCACACAGTGCACATACCAGGGGCTAGCTCTTCACCTAGTCAGTAATTGATTTGAAATGGTGTTGAATATTCTCATAGGGCTGACAGGGTGTTGTGGAGCCCTGGCTTCCGATCTCCATCTTGAAATCAGAGTAGGTGTGAGTGTCTGCACATGTGAAATCCCACCCCCAAACACACACACAAGACCTCTTAACAGTCCTTCATAGAAGAAAGGGGTAGAGAAGAGTCAGGTTCCTGCCACTCCCTCCTGCCTGTGCTGCCCAGCTGCATTCTCCTGCTCTAGTCATACATGGTGTTGTGAGATAGAAGGTTGACTGAAGGAGGCAAGGGTGTGACTTTGTTTCGATACTGTTATCTATGTTTCTGTAAGGAACCCCAATAAACTCATTCATTCACCAACCCGAACTTGTATGGAACCGGGTCCATCAGTGCCCTATTTGATATGAGTGGAAGTTTGTTCCTATATACCCACGAAAAGCCACATAACAAAGACACGGTAACCTGGACATTTCTACAGATGGAGATGTATGTGGGTCAGAGGACAACTTGTAGGAGCCAGTTCTCTCTCTCTACTCCATCAGTTCCAAGGGTTGAACTTAGGTCATTAGACTTGGCTACAAGCACTTTTACCTGCTGATCTGTGTTTATTTATCCCTCCTTGTTACATTTATTAAATTTTTTAAGATTTACTTTAAGTGGATGGGTGTTTTGCCTGCACATGTATCCATGCACCATATGTGTGTCTGGCACCCTCAGAGGACAGAAGACAGTATTGGGTCACCTGTAACTGGAGTTTCAGATGGTTGTGAACTACCATATGGCTGCTGAGAACTGAATCTGAGTCCTCTGCAAGAGCAGAACGTGCTCTTAACCACTGTGTCTGTCTCCTCCTAAACCTTCATATTTTAAAAGAAGGTTCCTCATAGGCCTGGAACTTACTGAGTGGGCTAGGCCCCCTAGCCAGAGAGCCCCTGGATTACCTGGCTCTGCCGCCCCAGCACTGGGATTGGAAGCCTGTGTCACCACACCTACTTGCCTTCCTTCCTTCCTGCCTGCCTTCCTTTCTCTCTCTCTCTCTTTCTCTCTCTCTCTCTACATGGGTTCTGAGAGCTTGAACTCAGGTTTTCATGCCTGTAAAGCAAGCACTTTATCAACTGAGCCATCATCATCCCAGCCTCTCTCTCTCTCTCTCTCTCTCTCTCTCTCTCTTTCTCCCTCCCTCCCTTCCTCCTCAAGATTCTTTGTGGCAAAAGCTGGTGAGAAGGGAGCTTGCCAGAGCAATGCTAGCCACACGGTTAAAGTGAATGTGTTCCCTAAGCAGCCACGGCCTCTGTGAGCAGCAGCGTCTGCTTGTCCTTCCAGCAGGCCTTTCATTTGCCTCTGTGAAGTGGGAGTGAACATTATTAGTACATACAAGCAGAGACAGCACACCATTCCAGCAAGCCCCGTCTGCAGCTGTGGAGATGGTATTCAGGAGTGTCTGGAACCTAGTGTGACTCACATGAGAAAACTGGACCCTCTCAAGGCTATGGGCTCTGTGAGTCTGTTTTGTTTTCATTTTGCCTCACTAGTCATTTTTGAAATCCCAACTTGCAGGTGGTCAGACCTGCAAGAAAACCACAAAGCAGGTGCATAGGTAGGATAAGTCCTTTTCCAAATGAACCGCAATGCCCTTCGAGCACTCAGCCTTGGTTCTTAGCTACTCTTGCAGAGAACAGGCCCCTGTACTGTGAAACCAGTGGAGAACAAATTGGGATCACTTGGGCTCTAGTAAAGAAGAAATTTGATTCCCTCACCCATGAATACTGGGTAGCAAACACCTATAAACCAACCAAACATACCAGAAACTGAGGCAGGAAGATCACGTGTTCCAGGCCAGCCTGGGCTACATGAAGCTCCTTCTCAAAAAACAAAATGCCATGAATGAAACACACTGCCCCTGCTCTTGGGCAGCTCCTCAGGCCACTCAGGCTTCTGCATTGATCCCTCTCATCTCTCAGGCCTTGCTTGTTCCTCTGCCCCAGCTCTCTGCTTTAATTCCTCAGAAAGCCCCAGTCTTGCATGCCCCTCTCCCACCCTGCTTCTCCTCTGCCTTTCTCACACTGATCACCGCTAGTGTGTAACACTTGTGCTTACCCCATGTCTGGGTTCAAGACCCCCAGCAGCATATGCCTTTCACTTGGGGCCACAGACCTGTTGTTTTTAAGACAGGGTTTCTCTTTTATGTAGCCCTGGCCTGGTACTTGCTATGTAGACCAGGCTGGCCTCAAGCTTACAAAGTTCTGCCTGCCTCTGCCTCTCAAGTGCTGG